TATGTACTTACATTGAAACGAATCATTTGATACAATGGACTTATTGTGTACATACATGTTTTTACATTGTACTTATATTTTAAAAACACCAGCATGTAATTACAGCTGTAGCTAATTTATGTAACTACATCTGTAATTACACAGCTGACCCATCCCTTACACTTTAACCTACCCTTAAACCTACCCATACCACCACACCTGTCCCTAACCTTACCCTCAATAGCAGCAAAAGTGTTTTACAATACAACATGAGCACAGTAAGTACATTATACTTATTTTTCAATGTAAGTACATAGTACTTAAAGCCACTTAATATAATATTTCATCATATATTTTTCATAATAGTAATTAGTCTTGCAATGCACGTTTTTTTCAACTGACAAATTTAGATACGATTTTTCTGATAAGATTTTAGAGAGCAAATCATTATTAAAGGACACAAGTCAAATAACCTCAAATTGTACCATTAGGTAATGTGTCTGAACTTGGTGAACTTAGCACTTGACTTGCTTGAGGTGAGCCACTGACATGACTGGACTTGTCTAGCTTGATTATGACTTGAATATTTGTGTCTTACTCCCACCTCTGCTTTTATAATATTTTATGGGATTTTTTGGAGTTTGACAACCGTTGGTCTTTGTATACTTTCATTGTGTGAAAGAGAAACAACTCATACTGATTTGAAATGACACAAGGGTGAGTAAATGATGACAGAATTTTTATTTTTGGGTGAACAGTTCCTTTGAACTTGTCCTCATCCTGCTTTTTCTTTCCCCAACACCGGGAACCAATAAACTCAAGGCAGTTTGGATACATTTGAACACCCATTGCTTTTAAAAACATGTTTACAAAAAAACAAAAAAAAAGTCTTCCTCTCCAATCTACACAATCCAATGGAGCAGCAATCCATGAAATTGTCCTCTAAACACACAACTGTAGAGAAATGCCTGGCAGCCTTGTACTTAGTACACTATCAAACCTAATTGTTTCTATTTTGAAAGAAATAATAATTACATCTCATCTCATACTCCCTGTAGGTGCTGTTTATTTTCCATCTGTTTTTTTAATGTGTATGATTGGACTGGTTGTGATTGCTCCGCTCCAGAATTAGATCGCTAATGAAGTTTGGCTTAGCATTGCATGCTTTGTGCTTTCAAATACAGTACTGTTCAAACACAGTCTTCGCTCTTCAAAGTCCGCGGACTCGGCATTGTGAAGTGATTAAAACACCTGATACGAGCTCAAAGCGATGCCTTTGGCAAGGTACAGATATTTGCAAGAAAACACACTCAAAGCAGTTCATTTCCCAGCTTTCTTACTCTAACTGGTTGTGTTTTTTTCGATCAGTGCAGATCAATCAAGCATCCTCTTTTTTTATCGAATCGTCTGGTCTTAGTTCATTCAAAAATGAAAACTCTCTCATCGTTTTCTCATGCTGTGCCAAACCTGCATGACTTGCTTTCATTGAACACCAAATGAGAGATTGTGCTCTTCCATAAAACAAAAACATACAGTGACATTCAAGCTCCAAAAAAAGGTAAATAAAAGCGCCATCCTATTAGTATGATTGTTATATCTCTACAGTGTCTGTCCTCTTGGAAAAGAGCAGCATGAACATTCAGCTAAACATATCCTTTTAAATAATGGACATAAAAACATTTTGGACGATATGAGGGTGAAGGTAAGCTTGAGGAAAGGCAGACATTTGCCCTTCAAAACGTCTTAGGATGTTATAATGATTGTTCTTTCGCACAAACATCCCATTACCTTTCAGCAGAATTTCACTTCTGATTTAAAATGTCCTGATTATTTGATCTTTCTTTCTTCAGTCGAACAGAGGTTTTTGAGGCAAACGGTCCAACGGCTGGAAGGTCCAAATGTGAGTTTCAGTGAAGCTTCAAAGTCCCGACACGATCCCAGCCGAGGAATAAGAGCCTGATCTAGACAAACCATCCGCCATTTTATACAAAAATAAATAAACATTTCTGTACTTTTACTCCACAAATGCTCGTCTTGTACGTCCATGACTTCACTTATTACATAATCATGTTGAAAGGTCACGCGAAAAGGTAGGCGGAAAACTCAAAATCGTCCGAAATCGTTGTTTCATCTTTTATTTATTATTTTATTTATTTATTTAACTTTTTTATTTATTTATTTGTTTTGTAAATAGTGTTTGACTCGGTCTTCACACGTTGGCTTTGTAAACACTCAGTCGCTCTTCCGCCTTCGTCACGCTTGACCTTTCAACCTCAGTACATAACGTGTGGCGCATCACAGCTAGTGCAAGACGAGCATTTGTGGTTATAAAGTATATAAATGTCCATGTTTTGTATAAAATGGCGGATGGTTTGTCTAGATTATGCCTGGTTCAGATTACACGATTTTTTTTGTCTGTTACGATAGTCACTGTGTCAGATTACGCGATTTTGACTTCTAAAATCTTGTCGTGTCGTGGACAAGACACATGTCAGACTACACGTTGCTTCCTGACCAGTCATCGCATGCGGTCTTTAATGGCGCTCGTGATGTCATCGAGAAGGCGAAACTAGTAGCGAGTGACTTCCGTAAACGAACGTAAACAAACAATGGATGAAGCGATGAGTGTTGTAGTGGCGTCCTGTGTTCAGAAATAAGAAAGAAAACCCGACAATGGACACGTTCCTGGATTGCTCGAAGAGGACAGTATGGGCTGTCAATCCTCCAAAGAGAACTTGAGGTAAAATATTGTTTTCTTACATATTTTACTTTTAGTTAACACCATCGTCTCTCTTTCGTTTCGCCATTTTTGAAAGTTGTGTACGGAAAAGCTTCTGTGCTCCTATTGGTCAACCTCATACATGTGACAGAACCGTCATGGACGACCGTTAAAAAATATTAAACATGCTAGTCTTTTTGTTGTGATGTCGTGAAGCATCGCAGACACAACGTAGTTTGTCGCCCACTATGAAACACTATACGAGATGATACGATCGAATCTTGCGTCCCGACGCCCGTTGTCGTTTACGAATCCCCACGACACCCTACATCAAATGGATCGTGCCAAAATCGGGCTAAAATCGTGTAATCTGAACCAGGCATAAGACTCTTATTCCTCGGCTGGATCGTGTCGAGACTTTGAAGCTGCACTGAAACTCACATTTGGACCTTCCTGAACCAGCACTGAACTTACTTAAGCTTGACTGTGTGACACTATTTTCTTCTGGAAACAAACTTGGTTGCATTATTTTCCTGTTATCTCTGTAAAGCTGCTTTGAAACACTGCATTTTAAAATAAAGCTGACCCGTTGGAGTCGCTATATGGAGAACAATCCTGGAATGTTTTCCTCAAAAACCTTCAAGAAACAAAGACATCAACATCTTGGATGACGTGGAATTATCAGGAAATTTCACGCTGAAGTGAACCAATCCTTTAAAGTAATGTAAGGTCTCTATGGCAACATGCTTTTTCTAGAAGCTAGCGTTGCTTTGTTTCTCTCGTCAGTGTGAAAGGCTTGAGGGCACATCGAGTGGCTGACAGGACCAGAGAGTGAGCATCTGCTTGTAGGTTTGCTGTAGATGTGTGTGTGATCATTTGGTGATGACTCCGGCCTGCTGAATCAGATTCAGTAGCATCAACCTCAACATCCGACTTTCCAAATGTTGCCCGATATTTTGGTGCAAGGCTTTTTGACTTGGTTTGGAAGGTGCGTTGTGAAATACTTTTTAGCGAGCCACATATATAAACCACAAATACTTCATTTCTATGTTTCAACAGTTTTCTTAGCATGACATTTCCTTATCTGCCACATGGAGTTCAATAGTGTCACGTGACATGTATTGAGCAGTTGATTGGGTTAAAGAAAGATCCGATACACATTTGAGCAGTTACTGTTGAGATGAGCGAGAATGCTAACGATAGCTCTACAAGTAGAAATGACTAGGAATAATATGAGGGAAAATATGAACGATGTGCATTTACTTTTACATCATAACATATTTATACATCAGCCAATGCGTTATGAAGGGAAATAAATAGACTGAATAAAGCAGGATTAGTATATAACACAACATAATTACATAACCTTACAAAGCGTCTACGTATATTGCGTCTAGCGATTTTCGTAATAATCAATAGAATATGAGGGAATACTTGGAAATGCCAATATGGATTTACTTTTAAGACGCCGTGAGCAATCCAATCATTTATATGATCAGTGGTGTGTGTTATTTAAAAACTTAAACAAGCCCAGCCCAGGTGAGAAAAAGTACAATAGTACCGTAACAAATTATTTTCCATAAAAAGCAACTCATTTAGTTATTTTTTTCACAGACTAACTCAATACTTTATTGTAACTTTCCCTAACACTGAACAAGGGTATTTTTTTCACTTCATTAACAAATAGAAACTAAACTTAATGCAGTCACAGATCAATCTATTCCAGAGACAAAAGTGATCTTGCAAATGTTGATATTCCGAGGCAAATACAAAATTAAGAACGGCACAGCTTTTCACGTTGAGATAAAGTAATAAGGCCTCATGCTATCTTCGACCTGCTTGGCTGAGACAAACTGTTTGAGAGTCGCATCTTTATGATGATGAGAACATCAACCGGCGGTAAACACTACCTTGTTTCTGTCAATCTCTTACTAATATCAGATCTGGGAGCAAGCCACAAAAGCGCATCTGTCTTTTCACAAAAATAACCCTCGTATACTCATTTATCTCTTTGTTTCTTTTCATGTTCTTGCTCATAAAAGCTTACAGCGGGGTTTTTTCATGTCATATTCTTGTTTTGCAGATAACGTTGTGAGATTGTTTTCTCTCTTCCTGTTAAGTGGTGATAAGTTGGCTTCTGATGAAAGGCCCGTGTGCTGTTGTGGTGTCAGGCCTGGCCCTGAGCCCAGAGCTCCAGCCACACACACACACACACACGCTAGCGGCAGAGGTCACGGCAAAGCATCTCGCTGGTGTCATGTGTCTCTAACACACTCCTCTCTTGTGTTCTCTTTCATTACAGACCAACAGCAAGCTGAAGCATCTCGAGAAGGAGTATAATCAGAGGCTGGCCAAGTCTGCACAGGTAAACACACCATTGTTTGAACATGGCATACAAATGTTCTGAGACAAGTGCAAAGAAAGGAAAAATAGTGTGTCCTGTTATTATTTCCTGATGGATGGGTGGGTAGATTGGTGGATGCATGGATGGATGGATGGATTGGTTGGATGGATGGATGGATGGATGGATGGATGGATGGATTGGTGGGTTGATGGATGGGTGGATGGATGGATGGATGGATGGATGGATGGATGGATGGATGGATGGATGGATGGATGGATGGATGGATTGGATGGATGGATGGATTGGATGGATGGATGGATGGATGGGTGGGTGGATTGGTGGATGGATGGATGGATGGATGGATGGATGGATTGGTGGGTGGATGGATGGATGGGTGGATGGATGGATGGATGGATGGATGGATGGATTGGATGGATGGATGGATTGGATGGATGGATGGATGGATGGATGGATGGGTGGATTGGTGGATGGATGGATGGATGGATGGATGGATGGGTGGATGGATGGATGGATGGATGGATGGATGGATGGATGGATGGATGGATTGGTAGGTGGATGGATGGATGGATGGATAGATTGGTGGGTGGATTGGTGGATGGATGGATTGGTGGATAGATGGATGGATGGGTGGATGGATGGATTGGTGGGGGATTGGTAGATGGATGGATTGGTGGATGGGTAGATGGGTGGGTGGATAAGTGGATGGATGGATGGATGGATTGGTGGATGGATTGATGGATAGATGGATTGGTGGATGGGCAGATTGGTGGATGGATGGGTGGATTGGTGGATGGATGGATGGGTGGATGGGTAGATTGGTGGATGGATAAGTGGATGGATGGATGGATGGATGGATGGATGGATTTGTGGATAGATGGATTGGTGGATGGGCAGATTGATGAATGGATGGATGGATGGGTGGATTGGTGGATGGATGGATGGGTGGATTGGTGGATGGATGGGTTGGTGGATTGTGATGGGGCGTATAGCTTCCGCCATGGCGGCGATGCGTTACCTATTCTAGTGCTGAGTGCAAATGTGGCCTGTATTTGTTTGTCTAGCGTATCAATGTGTTCTGTTAATCCTCATATTGTTTCAAATCAGCGGTTAACCTAACCTTTCACCACAAAACCTCATAGTTATCCCATCGCTTTTGTGTACACACTTTGAACATCTAATACTACGGTGATTTATATGCTATAGCTACTGCTGTCAATACATATCAATACATTGGATGGATGAGTGGATTGTTGGATGGATGGAAGAGGGGACTGGTGGATAGATGGGTAGATTGGTGGATGGATGGATTGGTCGATAGATTGGTGGATGGATGGATGGATGGGTAGATTGGTGGATAGATGGACAGATTGGTGGATGGATGGGTAGATGGGTAGATTGGTGGGTGGGTGAATGGATGGATTGGTGGTTGGATCTATGGATGGATGGATAGATGGATTGGTCGATGGATGGATGTATGGATGTGGGTAGATTGGTGGATGGATGAATGGATGGTTGGATGGATGGGTAGATGGATGGATCTACGGATGGATGTATTGGTGAATGGATGGGTGGATGGATGAGTGGATGGATTAGTGGATGGATGGAAGAGGGGATTGGTGGGTCGATGGATGAGTTGATGGTGGATTGGTGGATGAGTGGATCGATGGATGGATGGGTAGATTGGTGGATGGATCTATGGATGGATGGATGGGTGGGTGGATTGGTGGATGCGTGGATCGATGGATGAATCTATTGATGGATGGATTGGTGGATGAGTGGATGGATGCATGGATGGATGGATCTACGGATGGATGTATTGGTGAATGGATGGGTGGATGGATGAGTGGATGGATGGAAGAGGGGATTGGTGGGTCGATGGATGAGTTGATGGGTGGATGGATCTATGGATGGATGGATGGTATTTATTTATTTATTTTGTATTTTATTAGACATTTTTTAAATAAAACATTGAAAGGATAATGGCAGAAGTTGTGGTAGTAGGTTTACCAAACCTTTAATTGGCTGATCATAAAATGATTAATCGATTAGAAGCTGATCTAAATATTAATTTTGAAGATGTTGAGAAGGATAGTTTTGAGAATATGGTTGAGAACATTAATGTACGGAGGGAAGTGAGATCTGATGATGTGGAAAAGCAACTACTCAAATTGAACCCTTCTAAGCTCCAATAGACAACGAAATATGCTTTATTTTATATGTTTAGAATTGTTATGAAAATATAAAGAGAGTTTTATACTATTTTACTATTAATTTTGTGTACCTAAACATTTTTAACTGTCATTTCACAATTGTATTATACTGAGACAGGTGATTAATACCTTATAAAACATCAGAAAGAGTCAAATCACAGAATCCAAATCTAAAACATTTTTATATATATATATAAAAAAAAAATACATATAATTTGTTTTATATGTTACTAACAATGACCCAGTTGCTTTTTAAAATAACTTTATGACTTGATAAATTACTTCATCAAATCTCGTATCGAAACGAATTATTGTCTGTAGTGATCTATGGTCCAGTTACAGTTATGAGTGTCTTGTTAAAAGAGTGTGAAAGTTTCATCATAAATCCTCCATCTTCATAAATCACCGGAGGTGTTGGACTCACTCTTCCGCCCCCTTCGTTCCTGGCCCTGTGTGTGTGTGTGTGTGTGTGTGTGTGTGTGTGTGTGTGTGTGTGTGTGTGTCCGAGCGCTTATCTCTCTCCTCTCGTGTGTGTTACTGAGGCCATGTGTTAAACATTAGATTTAATCTGCTCAGACTCTACGCCATTACACTGGCTTCAGGTTCAGAAGAATAAGCTTCATTCTTCTGGCGAGCTGAACTCCTCACACACTGTAGATGTTGTACACGTTCAGGGTGAGCCTCTCATTATCTCAGTCTCAGCTCAAACACTCGCTCTCTTCTCTCCACAACACAGAGCGCTGAATGTCAGGTTGACGAGCAGATGTTGTGTGAAAACACAGGCCTATTAAATTACACAATGCTTCCACATCAAAAGAACACACTTTGAGTGTGTGAGAAAAAGAGTTCACAGGCGCTTTTCCCCGTTTCTACATAACCTCTGAGAGGACCACTGATAATTAATTCTTTTTTTCTGAGGCACAAAATAAACATAGTTTTTGCTCTCTCTTGTTTCCCACTCGCATTTGGTGGGAACAGGTATGCTTTTAATGCACATTACATGCGCCTCCTCCGCACCAAACAACTTCTTCCTCTTGGTCGCTCTCTTGTTAGAAGTCGTATGGACGCTTGTTTCCGCAACACAGAATAAAAAATAAAAAAGGTAATAGCCACTTTTTATCTCACAATTCAGATAGGTTGGGTTGGGCTGGCTTTATACGATGATGGACAGAAGATCAACAGTAACGTAATCATCCACGTCACCAAAGAACGCTTTTGGTGAATTCGTTTACAACAAAGATGGCCGCCGGTGGAGAATTGAGATGTAGAGATTCAGCCATCGCATCTGTTATAGAAGATGTAGACAGCGCATTCATTTTAAAAGTGGAACAGAGAACTGCGAACAAGGCATTTGCCCATCGGAAATATGTTTTCGCCGTCCTTCCTACGGGGTTCAACATATCTCACTTACTCTGTTGCTCTGATTGGTTGCAGGTCGATTCAATCAGTGCAGAGGCATTTTCTGTCCTGGTTCGGATGAAACACGCCTCATAATCAAAGCCCAATGGAGCAGTTTCAGTCTCATATTCTGACTAGAGTCTGAGTATGACGACGTCAGGCTAATAATAAAGAGTTTTAAAGTCAGAATTGTGAGATGTAAATTCGCAATTGCGAGAAATAAACTCACAATTCAAAGTTTTTTTCTTAGAATTGCATGTTTATATCTCACAATCCTGACTTTATAACATGCAATTGTGTGTTATAAAGTCAGAATTTCGTGATATAAAATCGCAACTGCATTATAAAGTCAGAATTTTTTATATAAAATCGCAACTGCATTATAAAGTCATGATTTTGTGATATAAAGTCGCAACCGTGCGTTATAAAGTCATAATTTCATGATAAATTCGCAACTGTGTTATAAAGTCATAATTTCGTGATATGAAGTCTCAACGGTGAATTATAAGTCATAATTTTGTGATATAAAGTCGCAACTGTGCGTTATAAAAGTTAGAATTTCGTGATATAAAGTCGCAACGGTGCGTTATAAAGTCATAATTTTGTGATATAAAATCGCAACTGTGCGTTATAAAGTTCGAATTTCGTGATATAAAGTCACAACTGTGCTTTATAAAGTTAAAATTTAGTTATATAAAGTTGCAATGGTGCATTATAAAGTCCTAATTTTGTGATATATATTTGCAACTACGTTATAAATGTAGAAATTTGTGATATAAAGTCGCAACTGTGCGTTATAAAGTTAGAATTTTGTGATATAAAGTCGCAACGGTGCGTTATAAAGTCATAATTTTGTGATATATAATCGCAACTGCGTTATAAAGTTCGAATTTCGTGATATAAAGTCGCAACTGTGCATTATAAAGTTACAATTTCGTGATATAAAGTCACACTGTGCTTTATAAAGTTATAATTTAGTTATATAAAGTCGCAATGGTGCGTTATAAAGTCATAATTTTGTGATATATATTCGCAACTACGCTATAAATTTAGAAATTTGTTGTCGCAACTGTACGTTATAAAGTTAGAATTTTGTGATATAAAGTCCCAACGGTGCATTATAAAGTCATAATTTTGTGATATATAATCGCAACTGCGTTATAAAGTTCGAATTTCGTGATATAAAGTCACAACTGTGCATTATAAAGTTCGAATTTCGTGATATAAAGTCACAACTGTGCTTTATAACGTTATAATTTAGTTATATAAAGTCGCAATGGTGCGTTATAAAGTCATAATTTTGTGATATATATTCGCAACTACGCTATAAATTTAGAAATTTGTTATATAAAGTCGCAACTGTACGTTATAAAGTTCGAATTTTGTGATATA